GATAGAAGTGGAGTGGATGAGCTGTTTTTAGCATTCATTGCTGATTTCCAGCGAAGTGTGGAGGAAACGGCTTACTCGCGCCCCTTCCATCGAGTGCAGCCGTCGCCATGTCAAACTCATAGGCACGCTGCACCAGTGACCGTAAAACAAAATACAAGCAGATGAAAATACACTTACATCTCCAACCAATCAACCACTCCTCCCCTCGATTTATCCATCAGTTGCTTATGAATATTTTAACTAGGTCTAGTTAACCGTAATCCTTATTAGAGAGAAAGTGTAGAATTTTCCACATTGTTAATTACTATGCTTACACTGCTAATTAATTTTACGGCTTACAGTCGCTTAAAAGTTTAAAAAAGGAGAAGGCAAATTTCTGGTTAGCTCCCCATGTACATGCAGCTATTAAATTAATCTTACTTTTCGTGACAAATAACATTAACTAATTGCACAACAGTACCAGGTTATGAAGATTTGTTCATAACCCAGTATTCTTGGTACCTTTGTTTTGCTGTTCTACAGTTCTGAAACACGTACTTTGTGGAACGAGCGGAACTGCTAGCACTTCAGGGAAATTGCGACCGCCACATCAATCATGTCCCACGCTTCGGAAGAAGCCAAAGCTTGCGTGACTGTGAATGTGTTAAATAACACCGTGTGAACCCTTACGGAAGTTTCCCTGGTGCTTTTACTAAAAAAGTACGTGTAGTGCTAGGTGCCCCCGAACTGTGCTGTGCTGAGTTCGCGGGCACCTAGCAACTCGGCCGCGTTCGCCGCGGCCGCGCCCAAACGGTTAGGTATTGTCTGGGAGCCGAACATTTAGTGAGGTTCAGAAACCTTTACTTAATCAAGACATATCAGACTCCTCCATGGACTGCGTCGTACACAATACTTGTGCTTTGTGTTATGGAATAACAAAGGATTTTGAAAGGAGTTCGGCATGGGCGGAAAAATGGATACCAAGATGCTGACGAGTATGCGCGCCAGAATATCCCATGTGGACTAGGATATCTGTCGCGCACACTGGACACCCTGTTGCCAAAGAAATAATTGTGTGTGAAAGGACTAGTCGTGCAACATTTTTTCATCGAAAGTCAATCTCTGGGTGTGGCCAAACTTTGCCACACGGCAGTTCGATAGTGGTGGAGATACGTATTGATGGTGCGGTCTTGCACTCGTGCGATCGCATGATCGGTACTTGGGCCAATGTAGACTTTGCGATCGAGCGATTCGCTGGTGCAACACAAGTATCCCGGCGAATTGCTAGCGAATGGAGCTATTGTGCCAGCGGTTCGAACGATGTATCAGCGACTCCACTGTTTGAAAGTGGCGGGACTCATTTGAACGTTGGCTCTCGCCACTTTCCGGGCTCACGAGGGCATGAGAAAAGGGCATGAGAGCTCGGGAAAGTGGCGAGAGTCAACGTGCAAACGAGAGGGAGTCCCGCCACTTTCAAACAGTGTCGAGTCGCTGGTACATCGTTCGATCGCTGGTACACAGCTCGATTCACAAGTCCAACACTCGTACCCCGCGAGTCGCTGGCAAATTAATGGACGCAAAATCTGACACCGGCTTATGGTCTCCAATGCGAACTACCTGTGAAGCGGAATCTCGCAAAGTCTTACATATGCCATACAATGTTTGCACTCAAGGATCAGAATTCTGATGCACTGTCAATATCACAACTAGCTATCTTCGTCGCAATCTTTCTACCCGCGTCTGCCTCAGTTTGGTATTCTACACGGATTGAAAAGCACTGGAGAGTTAGCATGAACAGTCCGTCGCCAACATCGTGCACTTCCAAATCAGCAATGCAATACATAGGAGCTGTGGGGTCCGGACATCTGTCAACCGTGAGGCTAGGCAATTCAGCGTTTTGTTGTGCTGTCTGGGAGCTCTCACACAAGCGCACTATTACAGAATCTCCGCTTTCTTTACCTCCTTCAAAAGGCTTAGTCCCACTACCACAAAGAACGTCTGCTTTTCCTTCTACACTCTCACCCCTGGTTGACAGAAGCCTTGTAACCAGGAGCTATATAGAACGTGCTTGCGGTGTTGCCAAACAGGCCC